CCCGGGGGGCCAGGACATTAGAAGCCCTCCCCCTGTTGACCCCCCCCCCCAAGCACCAAGATGACAGAGCATCCCTTGCCCCAGAGTCCCTATCTATACCTTGTGGCTCATAGCCACTGATGGGACCTCTGCTCCATATGCTTATCTAATTCCCTTTTGAAGCCGCCCATGCTTGTAGCCGCCACCACTTCCTGTGGCAGTGAATTCCCTGTGTTCATCACTCTTTGGGTGAAGAAGTACTTCCTTTTATCCGTTTGGTGGTTAAGTGTGCGGACTATAGTCTGGGAGAACCGGGTTTGATTCCCCACTCCTCCACTTGCACCTGCTGATGTGACCTTGGGTCAGTCACAAGCTCTGGCACAGCTGTCCTTGAAAAAGAGCAGTTTGTGTCAGAGTTCTCTCAGCTCCACCTACCTCACAGGGTGTCTGTTGTGGGGAGGGGAAGGGAAAGGAGTCTGTAAGACGCTCTGAGACTCCCAAGTGAAGGGCGGGGTATAAATCCAATCTCTTCTCTTCTTCTTCTTCTAACCCGACCGCTCAGCAATTTCATTGAGTGCCCACGAGTCCTTATATTGTGAGAAAAGGAGAAGAGTACCTCTTTCTCTACCTGCTCTGTCCCATGCATAATCTTATAAACCTCAATCATGTCACCCCTCAGCCCTTGTTTCTCCAAGCAGAAGAGCCCCAAGCGCTTCAACCTTTCTTCATAGGGAAAGTGTTCCCACCCTTTCATCATACGAGTTGCCCTTTTCTGCACTTTTTCCAATGCTATAATATCCTTTTTGAGGTGTGGTGACCAGAACTGTGCACAGTGCTCCAAATGAGGTCGCACCGTCGATTTATACAGCGGCATGATGATACTGGCTGATTTGTTTTCAGTTCAGTTCCTGAAAGACAAACTAAATATTCCCCTTTTGTACATGGAGTTGCCTTTCCCGTGTGTTTTATGTGCATGCTTGGGGGAGAATGAAAGAGGGAGAGAATGGATTCTGTACATCTGCGTCTCTGCCCGGGTTGTAAACTGCTGGAGCTCTGCTTCCCCTGTGGGGTACGTCTCTGTGGAGGTGGCATGCGAATGAAATCAATAGAAGTGGGCCTGCGGAATCACAGGCTGATGTGAGGCAGGGCAGATCTTAACGCTTCCCTTTATCCTCGCTGTTCTCCATAGGTAGGCCTGGTGCTGCAGTAATCAGTAGTCCCTGGAGAAGTGTGGGCAGAGCCACTGAAGAGCTGGGCCAGAGAGGAAGGATCCGGTCCGCACGGACCCTGTTCCCGCAGAGGTGAGAACCTTCTGCTGAGGAGACGGCACCCACCGGCCTGGCCTCGCAACGCATCCACTGACACTTCTGGTGATTGTCCCGTGTGCCTTGGAGCGCACCAACGCATCCGGCATCAGCAGTTGGCCTCTCTTCCCCTCCCCCGGCACCCACACACACACACACACACCGATTAATCACATTTTCATACAAATACGATCAAGGGAATGTAACTGCTGAAAATTGGCTCACGATTGACATATATTGGAGTTAACGGGTGAATAATAATAAAATATATATATATTCTATATTATAACAATGTTTGGTGTTCACCTGAAAGCAAACCAGAGGGGAGAAGAGTCCCAGAGTTTTGTTCTTCTTCTTCTCCTTCTTTTGGTGGAGGGAGGTGGGCCAGTAGATGGTACGACTTCAATCCGGTCTGTTCCTTCACCCAGCTGGATCGGGCGGTTTTGCGTGCCCCAGGAGATGTTCACGCTGCCTCGTGGCTCTGGGCTGCGGTGGGCCCGGACTGAGAGTTTACTTCATTTTCTGCGCTGTGCACGGAGCGAAGGCCTTTTCCAAACAAAGTCCTGTTTGCTTTTTTCCGAAGGGCTATTTCAGTGGCTGCTGGGGGGGGGGGGATTTGTCGCCTAGCAGCCCCAAGACTTCCATCCTTGTTTTGCCATCCTATGACGTGCAGAGCAGATACATTTTGACCACTCGTGGACTTGCACCGATTGATCTGTTGTGGCAACGCTTGGATCACCAGCCACTAACAGCCATTCACGTCTGCCGTGCTTTCCTCTGTGGGCGGAGCCCTTCGCTGCAGCTGTCAGGGGTGGGGGGAAGCGTGCAGTACTTTGAACCGCAGCTCCACCACCCCCCATTTCCCCCCTCCTCTGGGGCTTTCCGGCAACACCATATAAGGCACCAATGATTCTTCCAAACGTACCTGAGCTGCACCGACAGTCACTCCTGTAGACTCTTTGAATTGTCTAGCCTTGGAAAAACGACACTGTGTGTTCCTTTCACCTGGAAGGATGTGGCAAGAACCGTCGCTGGCCGTGGTTTGCACAGACTCGCTAACAGATGACTCCTGTGCGAAAGGCAACCCGGCACAGTCAGGGTGTCCTCGGGCTTGGGTAACAGCTCTCGAAGCAGGAAATAAACAGGTGTGGTGGGGAGGAATTCCGTGCAATGCCACCTCCCTTTTGGTTTGTTTTTCCCGCAAACGCTTCACCAGCACTAGGCGGCAGGTTTCACCGAGTTGAACAATAAGTGGTAAATGGGTTTCTACTTTTCCAGCATCAACACATTTGCTGCCCGGTTGCTGCAGAACGGAAGGCCTCGGCTAGTCGCTCCCTGTCCTAGGACGCGTCCCTCTAGGCTTTCCCTCTTCATTTCCTCTTTGTGCCCGTGCCGTCAGAAATGAGGGCGGAGAAAACTGGGTTACGCTGTCCAGCTTTGCAACTCCGGGTGGGCATTTTGGCCTGTCCTGGCCGGGCCTTAAACCTGTGCCTAGAACGAGGATTGGTGTGCTCTGACTCGTTAGAGCAATGGCACTTAATAATGTGGAAGGCTGGACCTCTGGAAATGCCAGACGCTGTTAATTGTGGTGGATTCTTGAGGGTGAGCGCCTAGGAAAAATACAGCAATGTCTTTTATTGGTAGCTTAGGTGTCCTTAGATGGAGCTTAGATGGAGCTGCGGTGGCTCAAGTGGTTAAGACGCTGAACTGCAGGCTGTTCAGCAATTCAAATACTGTGACAAAGTTAGATATAGAAAGCCCTGTTGTACATCCAAAAGACACGGATATTTTAAGAAATCCAGGACCACACCCGACTTCTTACCAACTCTTACACCAGAACTCTTAATAACATAGAACACGGTCTTCAAAATTTGAATAGTCCCAAAGGAGGGTTTAAGAATTCACAGGAGTTTGGTGGACAAGCTATAAGTAGGTTCCTCCAATATTCTTCTTTATGTGTGAGCTAGCGTGTACCAAGCCGCATTTTGCCGAAGGCTTCTTCACAAAATCGAACCCTGAGTCGTCCACTCCAAAAGGAAAACTTTCACTAACACATTCTTTCCTTATGCAAAGTTGCTTTCAGCTCAAATCAAAGTCAAAAAGTTCCTAGTATGAGCTAGCTCACACGTAAAGAAGAATATTGGAGGGACCTACATAAAGTTAGTCCACCAAACTCCTGTGAACTCTTAAACCCTCCTTTGGGACTATTTAAATTTTGAAGACTGTGTTCTATGTTATTAGAGTTCTGGTGTATGAGTTGGTAAGAAATCAGGCATGGTCCTGGATTTCTTAAAATGACCATGTCTTTTCAATGTACAACATGGCTTCCTAAATTTAATTTCATAACAGTATTTGAATTGCATTGGACTATGTGGCTCAAGTGGTTAAGATGCTGAACTGCAGGCTGCGGAAGGTCAGTAGTTCAGCAGTTCGAGACCCCGGTTGCCGCATGACGGAGTTCCAGCTCCTGCCAACCTAGCAGCTCGAAAGGAAGAAATTGCAAGTAGATGAATAGGTACCACTTCAGTGGGAAGGTAACAGCGTTCCGTGCGCCTTGGTGTTTAGTCATGCCAGTCACATGACCACGGAAACGTCTTCGGACAGCGCCGGCTCTTCGGCTTTGAAACGGAGATGAGCACCATAACCCTAGAGTCGGATTTGACTGGCTTTCGAGCAAGGGAACCTTTACCTTTCAGGTGTCCTTGGCGCCGAGATCCTAAACCTCTGCCGGGGCTGGGAGTGGCTGCCGTGGTGGGGTGGTTCTCCCTGCAAGACACTCAATGGTGTCTGGGAAAACCACATCATGGTAAAGAGTTCCAGCACAGGCTTTCCTTTGCTGTGCCGCTTCTGTGCGAAGGGAGTTTCTTGTCTGATAGAGGAGCCTCCACCTACAGCCTGAAGCGCTAACTCTGTGCATGGATTGTATCACTTCAGTGAGAATTCGGCCTTAGTCGGGGACGGGGTCCTTCAGCTATTGGGGAAAAGGGTCAGCCTGGTGATAAAGGGGGCATCATCTCTGAGCTAGCCTACGTCCGGCATTTCAACCAATCCGTTTGGGCAGCGACACATTTTAAAGAACGGCCCGGCCCAGTACAGGTCAGGCTGTAATAATTTTCATTATGTTTCCCAGAGGGTCAACTAGTTCTGCAGTTCTGAGGACCACCCCTGCTTGCTTTATGAAGGCTCAAAAATCCCCAAGACATCTGTGCAAGTAATGTTCCCTTTCAAGCCGGAAAGCAGCAATGTGGTTCTTGGCCTTTGACATCGGCTCCTGGGGGCCCACAACATTCAGCCTGTTTGCCAGTCAGCTCAGGAGTTGCCGTGTCCAGTTATGATCGGCCTGCTTCAGGATGTTCCTGCAGTGCCTGGCTTTGTCCGAGTTGCTTTCACCCTTCGGAATCCATTGTTACAATACTGGAAGGTCTGTCTGCTTTACTGGCAGAATGAGATTTGGACATGTCGTCCCTTGAAACTTCCAAGGTTTCCCTTTTCTCAGCTTCTCACTGCTTCCCCCGTGGGGGAGGTGTTAGCCGGCAAACGGAAGCCCCAGCTCAGAAGCCTGGAAAAAAGACCTCTTCGGCATTAAGAAGCCTGTGATGGGCCAATCCGGCCAGGTGGTGGCAGTGCAGCACTACGACTCAAAGCAGTCCTGGAAGAACTGAGGTCATCCAGCCAAGCTGAAAGTGAATGCCGTCTGGAACACGCCTGAAACTTACAGCTGAACAAAATCCCCATCGGCTGCAAAAGTGTGCGATTTAAAGAATTATATGTTGTCCTCCCTTACCCTGTGAAACATTGTTAGTCCCGTGTGAAAACGTGAGTAACTGTAAATCACTCAGAGCCAGCAGCTCTGCAGGATGAGCGATTCCCAAGAACTGACTTAATGCTACGATTTCAATGTAACATGCCCACCTGGTTAGAGCCAAAGGGACGTTGCAGTTTTCTGTACGATGCCTGCCTGTTGCCTTTTACACGTCCTGTCTCTTCCAGCTTCCCCACGTTCCACGGGCTCTGGATGGATCTCACCTTGTCTTGCTCTAGGCTGACCCTGCATTGAGCAGGGGGTTGGACTAGACGGCCCCCACGGCCCCTTCCTGGCCCGCTCTGCAATGCTGTGATTTCATCTGGGATTTCTTTCATTTCTGGCAGGGCTCCTGAAGGACGCTGTGAGGACAGTTTTGAGAGTCCCAGGTTTTCAGCACTGACTTTACTTGCGCACACACGCATATATAGATACATTGCAATTTCTGTATAGCCAAATATGATAAATGTGTGTCATACCTTTTCATTATTCCCCCCCTCCTGCTTGTGTGTGGGTTTTTTCAGTTGGGTAGGGGAGCAGTTGAGGTGCTCATATTGGCCAGTGGGGCTGTACCCCGAAGCTGATTGATGAATGTGCAATTTATTTATTTATTTATTTATAAGTTCAATTTATAGCCCGCCCTCCCCGCAACGTGGGCTCAGGGCGGCTCACAATCAGGCATAAGTCAGCGCATAAAACACATTTAAAACCATTTAAAACAATTTCTACAATATTACGACGTTATTAAGTGCTCTGGATGTTCCGAATTGATCTTCCATAAAGATGGCGTAAAATGCTGTTATATCCACTCAGTGCCATCTGTTCCGCTTGGCGCTGTCGGTTCTTTCTCCCAGGGCCAGATGAAGATGGTACAGTAGTGGTGGCTCCTACTCAAACGCCTGGCGGAAGAGCTCCGTCTTACAGGCCCTGCGGAATTGTACAAGGTCCCGCAGGGCCCGGGTCTCCTCCGGGAGCTTGTTCCACCAGGTAGGAGCTGCCACCGAGAAGGCTCTGGCCCTGGTAGCAGCCAGCCTGGCCTCCTTGGGTTTTGGATTTGTAAAGGCTGACCGATGTTTCCCAGCAGAAGGTGTCCGGGAGGAGGATGTGGCCAAAGATCAGTGCCCCCAGAGGAGCTCAGGCTCCTTTCGAGTACATAAGAACATAAGAGAAGCCCCTGTGGGATCAGGCCAAAGGCCCATCCAGTCCAACACTCTGTGTTACACAGTGGCCAGAAATGCCAGGTGCCATCAGGAGGTCCACTAGTGGGGCCAGGACATTAGAAGCCCTCCCACTGTTGACCCCCCCAAGCACTAAGATGACAGAGCACCACTTGCCCCAGAGTCCCTATCTATACCTTGTGGCTAATAGCCACTGATGGACCTCTGCTCCATATGCTTATCTAATTCCCTTTTGAAGCCGTCCATGCTTGTAGCTGCCACCACTTC